CTCATCAGATTCAACGGACACACTTAGATTGCCATCGACAACATTACACTTGACGTGAGAACACCGCTAGTTGTCTCAAAGTAGATGTTCACGATAGTAAGCCACCCATCTCCTTACAAGAGGATTCTAGGGTGACCATGGATGTCGTAACCTCCGTCAAGTATCAAAAAATTTGATTCTGCATCACTGGATGAGGAAGAGGATAAATCAAGTATGACCAGGCCATATCTTAACGATGCACTGTGCAAGTACTTAAGGAAACAAATAAGAAGATATTTACCCCCGTATAGGCTACTAAGGTCCAAAAGGGCGATGAAGCTACCAAATAGTAATCATAGCAGACGGATCAAGAAGATGATGTCTAAATCAACACGTCAGCAGGCGAGACAGATGGAAACCCGAAGAGGATGTCAAACATATCATTCTTGATCTCAGCAGCAAAAGAAGACTTCTAGAATCGACTCATGCCTGAGCCTGAAACAAAAGGAGGAACTCACGACTTTCCTTAGGGAAAATTGTGACATCTTTGAATGGTCACCTTTCGACATGCCAGGCATCGACCCTAAGATAGCTTGCCACAAGCTGCAGGTTGACCCCGATGCCAAACCAGTAATCTAAAAGAGAAGACATTTCGCACCCGAACGAGTGGCAATCATCGAAGCAAAAATCTACAAGCTATTAGAGCCCATAAGCATATAAGAGGTAGCACACTTAGCATAGCTTGCCAACGTTGTGCAAGTAATGAAGAAAGAGAATGGCAAATAGAGGGTTTGATAGACTGAATTGACCTTAGTAAAGCATGCCCAAAAGATCCTTACCCAATTCCCCTAATCGATCTACTAGTAAATTCAACTTCGGGAACCAACTGCTTAGTTTCTTAGATGCATACTCCAGCAACAACCAAATATCTATGCATGAACTTGACAAGGAGAAAACTGTGCTCGTGGTCGAGCGAGGCACCTATTACTACAAAGTCATGCCTTTTAGCCTTAAGAATACGATAGCTACTTACCAACGACTGGTAAACATGATGTTCAATAAGCAAATTGGAGTAACCATAGAGGCCAAACAGCGATCAGACCACATTAACAACTTGGTAGAAACGTTCGACATCCTTAGAAAGTACTACGATGAAGCTCAATCAAGTCAAATGCACATTTCGAGCATATTCAGGCAGATTCTTAGGGTACCTAGTAACCCAATGAGGAATCAAAGCACATCCTAAGCAAATCCAAGCAATCCTAGAGATGAAATCTCCAACTATCTTGAAGAAAATCCAAGGCTTAACCGGACGAGCAGCCTGCGCTCAACCGCTTCCTCTTACGGTCCATCGATCGATGCAAGCATTTCCAAGACTTCAAGAAATTTAGGACAAATGGGACAATGAGTGGGAAAGAGCTTTCCAAGACTTGAAAAAATATCTCACATCACCTCCCTCACTATCCAAGCAAGAAGCAGCGGAAGACTTATACATCTACTTGGCAATCTCAGAAATAGCAGTGAGCTCTACCCTAATACGAGAAGAGTTATGGGCCCAATTGTCAGTATTTTACACTTTTAAAGCTCTTCTCGAAGCGGAAACCATATATTCGAAGATCAAGAAATTGATTTTGGCGCTAATTGTTGTGGCTCGGAAGCTTAGACCATATTTTCAAGCTCATACAGTCATCGTCATGACCCAGTATCCTCTACAATCAATCCTACATGGTCTGGACGCTTCCGAACGAGTAATGAAATGGGCATTGGAATATAGCCAATATGGCTTAGTTTACCGACCCGCACGATGATAAAGGCCCAAGCCTTGGCTGACTTCATAAAAAAATTCACGTTTAGCCTAGGCGACATAATAACGTGGCCCAACGACTTCCCGAAGGTAACTGAGCACACCTTGGCCACGCTTGCCTCACCCAAGGGAGACTTCTAGCATTTACACGTCGATGACGCATCCAACTAAAGGGCTCGGGATGAAGATGCTCAAGTTGGCTCACTGTTAGAACTCAACCTATTACTCTTTCTTATGTAGTATGTTAAGAGAATGACGTTTTCAACTTAACTTAGTCTCTAGCATGCAATCTAGAATGGCGTGTTCATAGATTTAACAAGTAGAAATCATTAAGAACGAAAAGAGTTTGAGTCATCACAAGGCATCGTAAGTACTGGCGTTGTCTTACTTATCCTAGAAATTGGTTATGTAGGCCCTCGTTCGACAAGGGCAGACACACACATATTCATAGCTTTAGAATCCTATATATGCTTACTAAGTATGCATCCGTAGAAAACACATAAAGAATTCATCAATGAGACAAGTAGTGAACCAATTTTCATCCATTCATAAAAGTAATTCAAAGAAATGTCATAACACATTCGCAATCATATTCGGGGCTTCAAAACAACCCCTAACTACTAAAAATTCAGTTAAACATTATTCTCAAATTAAACCAAAAGAAAGAAATGGGTTTGAGAAGATAAAACCAAAAGAAGAGAATGCTAAGGTTTCCTACTTCCTTTCCTTCCTTCCCCAACGCTACTGCCTTGTCTTTTTTCCTTCATTTCCACCGCAACCTGTAGCCTTCCTTTTTTCGTTCTTTTCTATTTTTTTTTCACTTTGCCGCTGCAACCTACAGCCTTTTTGTTCTTGCTTGCTGCCCCAGTTTCTTCTCCATAACTCACCCCACTAACAGCCATTTAGTGATGATAATAAGTGAGAGGAAATGGTAAAATAATTGTAACTCTTTTGTTAGCCTTTATGCCCATTACTCCTAGTTAATCCTCATCTTTAATTCCATTTCCTCTGATATTTGAATAGGTGTCAGCTGGCTTATTCTTGGCTGCATCAGTTTTGGCTGCTAGATTTATTGGATGTATTGTCTTCAATGTTTTTTTATCAGTTACAAACTGCTCAGCCTCTTGGGAACCTTTCAATGTTAAAACAGCGATGACTTCTTCTAGAAAAATGATATTAGTAATCCGTGAAATGTTCTAGAAAATAGACATCCGTAGTTTCCAAGCATATAAGGCTCATTCTCAAATTCATTCTGAGCTGTTCATAACTTGCTTCCAAATTTAGCGGATCTGCACAGGCAGTTTTGACGTTTAAAATCCCACTTGTGCTATTTTTCTTTTTTTTGCTTGACAAATCCTACAAAATAAAAAAAAAACAAAGTAAAATAGCTCAAAAATATAAGGAACTAATTAAGAAAAGACAAGTGCATTTGATGTAAAATATATATAAATATGAGCTTATCATGTGGGAATCTACATCAAAATAGGAAACAATCTTATGTTTCCTAAAGCAAGGGAAGATCTCTACACCTGCTACCTTTTCCTGTGAGCAGCCCAACAAGTGTAGGGGTATTTATGGAGCCAAAGATAATCAAGAAAATTATGGAGGTGACACGCGAACTTTTGGGTGAAAATGACAAAATTACCCTCGAGGCACATCGGATTCCCACGGACATGCAACAAACAATAGCAGCTCAATCAAGGAAGAGTCAAAGGAGATCAAATGGTATTTATTCAAATCCCTCTCATCACTCCTCATCAAATCCTTATTCAAAAGGTAACTCCCAAATTTCCTATTTAATTTAGGATTAATTGTCATGCTAATTGCAATTATTTCACGTAATATCTTGCAATTATTCACACAATTTCACCATATATGGTCGGCCACTATTCTCCAAATAGGGCCGGTAGCTCCCCTATAAATAGCCTTATTCTCCCACTAAAAAGCGAAGCCCTTTGCTACCCACAAACTGCAAAACACATTCTTTTTAGAATTCTAACTTTGGCATCGGAGATTCTTCGGCCAAAGGCCTCCCCCTCCCCCCCCCCCCCAAAAAAAAAATCGTGGGCGAGTAAGGCTTTTGGCCTTAATCTTAGGTGTTATTATTTTGCAAGTGCATGTTCGTCAAAGGATAAGGGCGGCAAAAATTTGCATCCACATCGGCAATAATGGTGGGATGGTGGCGGTGGTGAAGAAGATGGTGGAGATGGTAGGGCGATGGTGTCACGTTGGCGGTGGTGATGGGAGGTGGTAGTGGAATTTCCACCTTTGTTTTATACATATCTTTTGCGTTTTTAATTTTTTTTGTTTTTTAAAATCATTCTTGAAAAACAAATGAACATTCAAAATGATGTTTTATATAATTTAGGCTAAATATTATATTTCATGCCTTTTATTTTCTAAATTTGTTCTTGAAAAACAACAGACCAAACACATTTTAAAATTGTTTTTTGTATCTGTAAAACAAAAAACTTTTTTCACACCCTTAGAACCTGTTTGGTATTTAATTTGAATTCATTTTTTTAACTCAAAAACAATTTTTGAATCTCAAGCCTAATATTCTTGTTTGATATACTATTTTGAAAAACTGAATTGAAAACCAACTTGAAAATATAGCTTACAGAGAAAATCTATTTTTAGAATTTTTAAAACTAACACTCTTATCCCATTTCTCTTCTAATCCTCTTTTCTTTATCCTTTCTGTTCGTTGTCTTTACCATTTTTTTTCTTTTTCTCTCTCCTCTCTCTGCAATTGCTTCTCGCTCTTTCTCTCAATCACCTCTCTCTTTTATGTCTCATCTCTTCCTCTCTCTCTCTCTCTCTTTCGATTTTAATCTCCATCTCCCTCATTCGGCTTCAGCAGGGAGTTACTGACAAAGAGGCTTTTTTTTTTTTTTTTTGAAGTTGTTAAGACTTAAAAATAATTTTGAGTTTTATAGAAAATTATTTTTAAGAGATGGTCTTTAAGAAATGATTTTGGAAAACGATGAAAACTTTTAGTAGGATATTAAATCAGCCCTTACTTTTTCAAGATAAATTTATCAAATAGTAAATCTGATATCCCAATTGAACAAAAATCAACATCCTAAACCCTATATAAAGATATTGATTGAGATGGGGAATTGTAATTACATGAATTGGGAAGATGTCCTTCGCTTGTGAAAAAGAATTCAAGTCCTCAATTCTCATGTTCATAATTCATACTAAGAAGTAAATCTGATCTGCCAATTGAACCCATATTAATTAATATTGTATTGTTTTCGAGGATCAATCTCCCATGCATCATGCATGCCATGCCAGATTGCCAGATTGCATATACAAAAAACCAAACTCCTTTCAGTAATTAAATTTGTGCCATCTTTTGTTGTGAACTATTGATACATACGAAACAGCTTGACCAAGGCTTGGCAGGTTCGACCGTCCGTAATTATTCTCGTCTTTCTTTCTTTCTTTTATATGGTTTTATTCTTGAAAATGAAAACTAGGACTACTCAGAAGTAATTGCTGATTCAAGAATGAATTGGCGGTGTTAGTGAAACTGCAGTTGGAATTTACGTATTTCTTCGATGGACATAATAACACGCCACGATCATCTGTGACGGAATGCTGGCGCTTGAGCCGGTTTTCGGTGCTTGGAGCTGATGATGGCAAGTTCAAACCGTTGTATTGAGGGAGAGTTTGAAGCAAATGACTGCTGCTGCTAATATCGGTATTGAACAGCAGTTGCGGGTCTAAACCGATACTACTACTCCCGGTACAGCTATAGCTAAACTTATTAGGAGTCGTTGATTGAAATCCAGTTCCAGTTGGGATAGAGTATTGGCCATCCGCCAGAATACTGGTGAGTAATGAGTAGTCCATGGCGTCTAGTAAGTTGGAGAAGGAACAAGATTTCTGAGGCTTGAGACTGCTAGTATTACTGGTACTCATCATGTTGTGATCAAGGCTGGTAAAGGGACTTTTCAAGCTTGGGGAAAGGATATCGTGGAGGAAATCTTCTTCTTCTTGAACTTCTTGGTTTTGATCACTTGGCAGTGCCACTGCTGAAGTCCCAACATTCGACTTCTTGTAGATTCGACAAAGAACCCAATCATCCAACTGGAGCCACAAACAAAGTTCATATAGATATAGATATAGTTATTGTTAATGACTAAAGTATATATGTGGATGATATCAATTGGACAATTGACTATGTAAATCAAATGCTCATAAGATCAAATAAAACTGCTCACCCTCATGGATAAATCTTTGAGCTTCATGACTCTGTGGTGGTGGTTGGTGGTGGTGTGGTTATTTGGGTTTTCTGGAAGGCGATACTCATGCATGATCCAGTTTGTCTTGATTCCCTTAGGGGGTCTCCCCTTGTAGAACACAAGAGCCTTCTTCACACCAACGTTCTGCCCCCCTCCTGATGGTGCCACAATCGTCTTATCGGTTCCAGTTGCCTTCCAATACCCTGATGCGGCAGCCCTGTTTGGCCTCGCACCATTCGGGTACTTGCGATCTCTTGGACTGAAGAAGTACCATTCTTTCTCACCAAACGCAGCTTTGGCTAATTAATTGTCGACATCAGTATGCATGAAAGAGCACAGAATTAGCCATATGTTAATTAATCAACTGAAGCACTTAGCATGTATATACCATAGAGGCACGCATATGTGATATGTATTGAAAACAAACAGTTGAATCAATTAATTAATAATTAAGGAAATTAGGTAGGTACCTTACCTGGCAATTCCCATGGATCAAACTTGTAGATATCAACTTCAGCGATGACGGAAACAGGTAAGGGAGTGGAGGCCACCTTCTTTACAAGGTAGTGAAGGATGAGCTCTTCATCTGTAGGGTGAAACCTAAATCCTGGTGGCAGCCTTGATTCTGGGTTTTTCATCCTCAAGCAACCAAATATTTCCTTGCTAGCCACAGATACCTAGCTACCTAAATTAAACCAAATATTGATCAAGAAATTAAGGAGGAACGAGCGAACGAACAAACAAGCTAAAGATTAAACAAAGAGAAGAACAATTTGAAATTTATTGGGAGAGAAGGAAAGGAAGGGCTTTTATGGTTGTGGGAATTTGTCGGCATGCGGAAAAGAGAGATTAGGCCAATGGGTTCATTGGGTTAGTATGAACCAGATGATGTTGATGAAGAGATAAAAAAACAATCATCGTCAGTTACATTTTCAGCTGAAACAAATATAATATATATATATATATATATCTCTCTGTGTGTGTGTTGCTGAGAGAGACTAATTACATGCACTGTAACAAGACTTCAAGTGACAATGTTTCAAATTTATCATATATTTTAATATGTTTTAACTTATTCACATATCATGACAAAGTAAGTTTATGTCGTATGTAAATGTAAGAGTGCCAGCTGAAAGGCTTTTGGCGTATGGAATTCAACTGTTGGTTTTGTCCTTCCCGAATTTTCTGAGAGCTAAGTTTCTATTTTCACGTATTAACAAGTAAGAGGGGGAAGGACTCAGGGGCTTAGGAGGGAGGAGCGAGAGAGATGAGATAAATAAGATATGGGAATGGAATAAAGAAGAAGATGCATGGCGGCTGGACAAAGGTGTCCAAGGATAATCTTAATCTCATGACATCATCCCCTCTTCTCCAAATAGAGTGGTGACATGTGTCTTCATGTTTGGACGAGCTCTCCCCTACTTCCAATGCCTGGTTTGGTATTGCTGTACTTTGAAAAAAAAACTGTTTTTGATGTGCTGTGAGAATAAACTTATTTTTGCTGCTTCATGTTTTCAATTTTTTTTCATCCAAAACTGTAAAAATACGTTATTTTTAAGTGTTTACCAAATACATTTTTAAACTTAATTTTTTTATACGTACTTTTTATAAAAACATCTCAGTATCAAATCTTTATCAAGTCCTCCAGTCCACAGCTCACAAAAAGCAGAAGCAAAAGCTCTTGTGACCTGTCCTGAGGCTGAGCCTAGTCATCAATCATCCCCATCTTGTGCCGTAACAATGCATCTCACTTTGGCTTTTTTTTTTTCCTTTTTTCTAATGTTTTGTTTACTTTAAACTGGGGGATGAGTTGAGCTTCATTCGGTTAAATTTTTTAAAAAAAAAAATCGGAAACCAAATTAAAATTGCTGGTTGATTCAATTTGAATTTTTTTTTTTCAGTTCGATTCGTGTGCCTTTTTTTTTTTTTTTAATAAAGCCTGAAGATTGGTTAATTACCAAAAAAAAAAAAAAAAACTTTTACTATTTATTTGTATCATTATTTATGTCAATTTTTTTTAATAAACATGAGACCTACATGTATTAGTAAACACTACTTCTTTTTGAAAAATAACACAAATATATAAGCAGTGTAGCATCACTCAATAAAGAATCCGAAAAAAGTAAGGATTTCTTGCTTTAGACTTTTTAATTAGGCCTGAAAGGCTTATGTTAAAATCAGGCTACTTGCCTTGAAAAATAAATACCCAACTAAAATAAATAAATAAATAATAATAATCTATATTCATTCAACTCGATTCATTTTTTTCTTTTTGAATAAACGATATTATATACACCAAGGGAGAGGGGGTAGACTTAACCTCATAATAAACTAGTAATAATGTGGTTCAAATTCACATTTGACAAAAATCAAACCTAAGACTTCTCATTTACAAGTAAAGAGGAATATTATTAGACCGTAATACTAAGTGTCAATTCAGTTCAGTTTTTAAACCTCTAAAACCGGCACAGAATCAATAGTTTTTGGTTTGGTTTAATTTCTTCATATTCTTTTTTTTTCTTTTTCAATTTGGTGAACGGTTAAGTTTTTCGAGCCCACTCAAACTTTAAACCTCTTCACATAAAAATTAATATTAAGGAGACTAAATTTTTAAAGTAAAAAATGTGGTTGTTGATGATTGAATTATTATTTAAGTGTTGATTAACATGTTTACTTTTTATTGGTAACACATCATTTAATTTGCAAATTTAGTATAAAAATTTGGCCTCCATAACATTATCCACGCATAAATAATATAATTGTCAAAAATGATCAATTTTCTTAATCTTAGGATTGACATAGGACAAACCGGCCATGCACACCATGAAGAAAACTGAAATGACAAAAGTACCCACATATAAATTGTAAAAACTCACAAGTGATGATATCATTTTTCTGATTTCAAAGAGAGCGAACGAGGTCGCAGAAAAATTTCATCCATATCCTTCTCTCTTCCTTCTTTCCATCTTGATTTCTCTCTTTTCTCTAAAATTTTTCTCTTCACCAAAAGCCAAGGAACTTTAATACGTTTTTCTTTTAATTGCAATCAAAGCCAAATTCTATTTTAATGCTTATAAATTTGAATCGAGAGAGGGAGAAGGCAGAAGAATTAAAATCACCAAGATCAATAATTTCACATTACGCAGCTACAGAGACGGCGTCGTAAAAGTCTTGAAGGTTATCTGCCCCATTTTCTGACGGTGTGCCGGAGGGAGAGGACCTCAAAGAATGTTTGATACAATGGTGACATAAGATATTTAGACGGTAACCAAAACGCATGAGCTTTGGTTTTATCACTTTGGCGATCTATATAACTAAATCCGGCAGCAGCTGAAGGATCCGGAATTGGAAGACGATTCGGAATTGGTCAGCATAGACCTTACTTTTTCTATAAGCAGACCCAAAGATCGTTCAGAGCTGACAAACTCGACAAAAATTGATGACAGAAAGCAGGGTCAACTAATGGGATTGGGGATTAGGGGTTAGGGTTCTTCGAACTAGGGATTGGGCAAGAAAGATTTTCGAAGAAAGGTGAAATAGTGACTGAATTAGAGGAAATAACTCATTTATATACGAGGGCAATTAAGTTATTTCAAGGTATAGGAAAATTTCTATTTATGTCCTATTGTTGTGCATGGCGTGTGCATGCTTTGTGCATAATCGGTTTGTTTTATTTCAGTCCTAAGGTTAAGAAAATAGGTCATTTTGGGCACTTTTCCTAAATAATAACTTCTTTTTTTCTACTTTTTATGCTTGAGATATGAAGAAAATTATGGGAAATGAATCCCACATAAACATAGAATAACTCTGGTGTCCATGCAACCAAGAAGGAAAAGACAGGTGAGACCTTGTCACTCCAATGTGGTGTAAGCCAAAAAGTTCTCTGATGTCTAAGTTAGACTTAACTGTTAGAAAAATGAATCTCAAGTTACGAGCTTCTTGACTAAGGAACAATTACATTTCACTTTGTGCATGCATGCCTTTATAAAGCAAAACATGAGCTCGAAGATGATTCTACAAAGCAAATCATGAGCTTGAAGATGATTCATTAGGGCACATGCATGCCTTGTATTTAATGGTCAACTCATACAAGGGTTAAGCTTTGGCGAAACCTTAAGGGTGCGTTTGTTGTAACAGACTATCTTGAACTGAATTAGCTTCAAAGACTAAGCTGGATTGGCTTAGAATAGACTAAGCTGGACTGATTTAGTGAATCGTTTGGTGTTATGTCAGACTAAAAAGCAAGACTCGTATATTATATTATTACATTTATATTTACAATATTTTTTCATTAATTTAATCTATATATACTAATATTTTATTATTAAATTATCATTTTCCTTTTTGAAATCATCTTCCTCTTTTTCGGTCCGCCCACTGCATCCCTCCCCTATCCTCTTTCTTTGCCATTTCATCTTCCTTTCTAGAATCATCTTCCTCTCTCATTTTTTTGTCCGCCCATTGCATCCCTCCCATCTTCTCTTTCACTGCCATTTCATCTTCCTCTCTCATTTTTTTTTCCACCCACTGCATCCTTTCCCTCTCCTCTTTCTTTGCCATTTTATCTATGCCACTGTCTCTTTCCACTTCCCTTTTTTGGGTTTTCTAGGTTCAATTTTTATGGTTTTTCTGGGTTCAATTTTTATGGGTTTTTTGGTTGTGGGAAGCACAGAAGAAGGAGATGCGAGGGGCAAAGCGGAGTAGAGGTAGCAGTGGAAGAGGTCAAGGAGGATGGAGCCCGAAGTCCTTGTCGTCTAAAATTAAGGTCTAGGGGGAAGGAGCCAAATCGGAGGGCGCGACCAATGAGCTTGGTTTGAGCGGAGGTGAATCGGACGATGGAGCTCGTGAGTTCTCCGATTGAAGTTCGAGTCGAGGTCTTTGTTCATGATTCAGGGTTGGGGACAAGAAGAGAGGGGGAGAACGCGAGCAAAGAGGAGAGTAGAGGACGCGAGCAGAGAGAGATCGAAGGGATTAGCTAGTCCCATGGTTCGCGACGTCTCTCGCTAAGACCGTCTAGCACGGTCCTTAGTCGAGGCGAGTCCGGCTTACTCCCATTAAAGGTAGTCCCGTGAAGTAACAAACATGAGACTGGACTACCTCTTACTTTAGTCCAGTCTAGTGAGGGCTAGTGAAGGGAAACAAACACACCCTAAGGGTACTTGCATTATGTTTACTTTGGTACACATAACGTCCCTCTAAAGCGGGTGAATTTTGTTTACTACAAAAGTATATGGAAGAAATGAGAGATGAAAAATGATGATGAGAAAGAGAGGAAGAAATAAAGAAAAAAGAATGAAAACAAAATTTTGAAAGTAAAAACAACTGAAAATGGTTTTTGTACAAGAGATAGGAAGCCCACGTGGGCATCACAAAAAACGTTGTTGGGTGGCTAAATATAGTCTGCTTCCTAACTTCTTCATTGCTGAAGACGAACTTTGCACATTTTCGAGCTAAAAGTGGCATATAGTCCTTAGTTTTCATTTTGTGTCATTCCTATTATATTTATTATCTCTCTCTCCTACCATTCTTCTTCCACTCTTCTATTTTGCTTTCTCCCTTTTATCTCCAAAACCAAAAAGATTAAAACTAAAAGCCAAATAGTTATCTAATCAATTTTTTTACGTTTGCTAAAATGTATCTTTATCCACATGAACTGTTGAGGAATGATGGAGGGTATGTGGGGCGATGGGATTGGCTAGAAATCTATAAATGAAAAATGATGGCTGGAACAAAATTATATTTAAGTTATGACATATTTGTGTTTTGATTAGTGGAAAGTAAACACATAGAAAGAGATGCACGCATGATATGTTGTTTGGTGGAAACTTATTAATCAAAATAAAGATAAGCTGAAATAGTTAGCCTGCACAGAAGACTGAAAAGAAAATAAAAAAATAAAAATCAATTTTCAAACC